CTTCCTTTCCTGCGCTGTCCCTCCACCCTCCCAAACAAGACGTCCCTCTCCAAGGACTGGTCCTCCTCGCAACATGTCCAAAGTATGTCAGATGAAGCTTCAGAATCCTTGCCTCCAAGAAGGAGCCTGGCTTCACCCTCTCCAGGACAAATCTGTTTTGTTTTCCTAGCAGTCCATGGTACATTCAATAAATACTCTTCTCCAGCACCACAGCTTAAAGGCATCACTTCTCCTTCTATCCTCCCTAGTCATTGTCCAGCTCTCTCATGCATACCAAGTGATTGCAAAGATGATGGCATATATCAGGTGCACCTTAGTCTCCAGAAGTGAATATGAGGTGATCTCAGGACACAATGCTGCAGACCTCCACGCTGTTGGGTTACACTGGAAAATGTTGTTGTTGTTATGTGCCGTTGAGTTGCCTGCGACTCATAGCAACCCTATGTACAACAGCCCTAAACTCTGCTCTGTCCTGTGCCAATCGCACTGTCTCTGACACTCCCATCCCAATTAACCCAATCACCGAATCAATCCACCTCATAGAGGGCCTTCCTCTCCTGCGCTGTCCCTCCACCCTCCCAAGCATGATGTCCTTCTCCAAGAATCGGTCCCTCCTTATAACATGTCCAAAGTATGTCAGACGAAGCCTCAGAATCCTTGCCTCCAAGGAGCCACCCGGTTTAACCCTTTCCAGGACAAATCTGTTTGTTTTCCCAGCAGTCCATGGTATTCTCAATACTCTTCTCCAGCACCACAGCTCAAAGGCATCAATTCTCCTTCTATCCTCCTTGGTCATTGTCCAACTATCTGACGCATAACAGGTGACTGCGAAGACCAAAGCCTGTATCAGACACACATTAGTCTCCAAAGAGACACCATTGCTCTTCAGCACTTTGGAGAGGTCCCTAACAGCAGACTTTCCCATGGCAATGCGCCTTTTAATTTCCTGGCTGCTGGTGCCAAGACTGTTGACTATGGAGCCAAGCAAACTAAAGCTGTGTACAATCTCAATCTCTTCACCATCCATCCTGATGCTGCCAATTGGTATGCCACCCAGCTCCAGAGTATGAATGGGCTCTAAGTGAAAGCACGCCCTGCCAGTCTGAGGCTTGTCTATTCTGTTCCACCGACTGCTGTTGGACTCGGCAATGGGAACGCTATGCTCTGATTTGGGGTGTTGGTGGAGCTTCTTCAGATCATGGTTATACGACTGCCAACAGCCAACTGCCAAAACACACACTGCACAATCACACTTGGCAAAATTCATGGTATGCTGGTTGTCCTTCAAGTTATAAAAGGGAGGGTGAGATATTTCCCAACTTGATTTAAAAGAAAATATTAAGCAACTATGTAAGCAATGGAGAGGTGGCACCCTGATGTCACAAAAGTCACAAAGATGACATATTAATAACTGCTGATTGGGAAATGAAAGGCTAAACCTTTTCAATGAAGCAGGCTCTGGCAAAGAAGAAAAAGAGACATGTAGAATGCAACTTGAAAAAAAATGTATGTACACCAATGTTCACAGTAGCATTATTCACTGTTGCAAGAACATGGAAGCAGCCCAAATATCCAACCACAAACGAACAGATTGAGAAATCATGGTACATTCACACGATGTAATACTACGCAGCACACAGGAGCAATGATTTTGTAAATTACTGCCTAACTTGGGAGGGTTTGGAGAGCCATATGCTGAGTGAACTCAGTCCCCTATGGACAAACACCGTATAAGACCATTATTGTAGAGCGTGTATGAGGATTCAGGAGAGGAAGGGTGGGAGCAGAGGGGTGAGAATGGGCAGGGGCTATGTGTAGGGTGGTGGTGGTTAATCACAGGGTCACACAATTTGATGGGTAGGAGAGTAGGTGAAGGAAATGGGAAAGATCCGATGTGGAAAACAATGTATATTAACTTTGTAAGTAAATCAGTATAAAATAAAAATTTTATTTTAAATAAAAAATATAAATCACTGTATTAATAAAAAAACGAATGTATGACATACTATCGTTTCAATAACCATTGTTTTCAAGCATAGCTATTTTTATGCTTGAGAGGTTCTAAGGCTGTTGACAGAAGAAAAAGTAAAGCACATGACAGTACCAGTCACTCCTATCACACAACCTTAGGGTTTGTCAGGTTCCAGTCATCAAGGTGTTTCCAACTCGTTGGGACAGTAGGGGAGTGAGCGGGAGAAACAGAACAGAACTGCCTGAGGTCTGCCCGGGAAGTAATCATTACAGGAGCCAAATGCCAAGCCTTATGTCCCACTGTGAGCTTGAACTGTCAACTCTTCCGTTAGCAGACAATGGCTTAATCACTGTGCCACCAGGGTTATTTACAGAAGACCTTGTTTGATGTTATCAAGTGGCAGTTTACACAATATGCATTAGACACAAAGAATCACTGTTCTGAAGAGTATTTCCTCATGTGGTGACCACTATTTTTCTTCAACTGATCAAAGCAATGAGATCAAGTTCCAGCCTGCCTCACTTCTAACATGCTAACTCTGCTCTTCTGAAGATTTTCAAACAAGGTTAATCCTGGTTAGTGAGTGATAACATGCAACTATCACCTCACCAAAAAAATCACATACTCTCCAAAGTGAATATACAGCAAGTGTTGCTGAGCATTAAGCAAACGACCCAAACACAACATGTAGACCACACGTATCTCTCTGAAGGTGCCCAGTGGAAGAGTGCATTACTGGGTTGCTAACTCTGGTGACCTAATAATGGTAAGTAAGTACTTCTCTGCCAACTTTAAAGCACATGGTTCTAAATCCCCTGCTGCTCCAAGAGAGAAACCGGCACTATCTTTTCTTGTGCGATTCACAGCCCCTGAAAACTCACTGGAGGGTCAGCTTCCAACTGGATGACAAAGAAAAACCACCACCTAAACATCATCTGTTAAAAGCTACCACATGCTCCCTGGGAGGAAGCTGGGCAGTCTCCTCCCATGAAGATTTACAGCCCCAGCAATCTGAGGGTGGGTCCTTGTCTTTGAGAAACAACAGGAACACAGAAGCAGCTGTTCCAGGAATACAGTGGGTCTTTGGGAAACAGAGAAAAGGATAGAGATTCCTCATGTTGGTATGTTGTTGGTGTCCTCAGGCTCCTTTCAGTAAGTCAGTATGACCCATAACTACCCTGTGCAGAAGAGAAAACACTGCCTGTCCCACACCTTCCTCACAACCGCGCTGTGTGCCTCAATCTACTGGTGCAGCTGCTGTGTCCTGAGCCAGGGGACTCTGCACCTTAAAAAAAGAGACTTCTGGAGAGCTCTGGTGGCCTAGTGGCAAAAAGCTGCAACTGCAAGCTCAGAGGTGCACAGTTCAAATCTACCAGATGCTCTGCTAGAGGAGGAACAATGTCCTCCTGTACCAGTCAGATCTGATTTGACGGTACACACAAAAAATAATGAAATTTAAAAAAAGAACTTTTTTTTTTAAAAAAAGAGACTTCCCAGGCTGACACTTCAATTTCTTTATCTGTAATTTTTTTTTTTTTAGGGGGAACGTTATTTCAAGAGCAGTGCATTTCACAACCAGTTACTTTTAGTTCTTAATTTTCTAAGAATTGAATATTTTTAATATTATTTTTTAACTATCATACAGTCTGTGCTTGAACAGGAAGATACACTGTTATTTCATTAAGCACCATTTTATTCCTAGTTTCAAAGGAGATGCAAGTAATGTATATGGTAACTATTAGTGTTTAGTCTTACAAATTTCTCATAAAGATAGGCAGAAAACAAAAACAACGAGAAAGGCAAGAATCCACACTAGAGTACTAAAAATCTGGTAGATGTAAGGAGGCAGCAAATTTAATATCAGATCAGACCTCACAGACAAAAGAAGTCTAATGAGAAAAAAAGTCAAATCATGTACCTTAAAACGATTTGATTTTTTAAAAAGCAGATGATACAACCTTGCTTGATGAAAGTGAGGAGGACTTGAAACACTTGCTGCAGATCAAACACGACTGCCTTTAATATGCACTGCACCTTAACATCAAGAAAACAAAAATCCTTACCACTAGACCAACAGATGACATCATGACAGATGGAGAAAAGACTGAGACTGTCAATGACTTCATTTTACTTGGGTCCACAATCAATACACTTGGTACCAGCAGTCAGGAAACAAGGAGACATATTGCACTGGGAAAGTCTGGAGGCAGGAACCTCTCCAAATTACTGAGGAGCAATGATGTTAGTTTGAGGACTAGGGTGCGAATGACTCAGGACACTTGCTATGCACGTGAGAGCTGGACAATGAATAAAGATGAGAGAAGAATTGCTGCGTTTTGAGGTGTGGCACTGGAGGAGAGTACTGAATATCCTACGCATCAAAAGAACAAGCAGGTATGTGGTGGAGAAGGTAAAGTCAGAGTGCTCCCTGAAGGCAAGGACAGTGAAGCTTCGTCTCACATACTTTGGGCACATTAGTAGAAGAGGCTATTCTCCGGAAAGGACATCAAGCTTGGAAAGATGGAGGGATGGCAAAGTAGAGGAAGATCCTCACTCAATCAGGTGGACTAATACAGTGACTACAACAATGAGCTCGTGTCAGAGACTGTGAGGTTGGCAGAGGATAAGGTTCAGATCTGTTCAGAGAGTTGCTAGGAGTTGTACTCGACTATGACACTTAACAAGATGATGGTTTTCAGGTGCCACTGAGTAAATGGATTCCTAATGACCCCATGCACCAAAAAAGGAAACTGTGCCCAATTCTCACCATCTCTGTTGTGCTTAATCCCACGGAGTCACTGTGTCAAACTCTCTCAGCAAAGATCTACCTCTTCTTTGCTGACCTCCACTTTTCTAGCCACTAGGTCCTCTTCCCCAAGGACTGGCAAATTTCTCACCTTTTCCTGTCAATGTACTGCTCCAGCTGTTTTTGAATAATTTTCAACCAGATTTTACTTAAGTACTGGGGAGTCTAGAATTTCATGCCTAAAGTTGGTTTTGTGTGTGTGTGTGTTTTTTGGGTTTTTTTTTCCTTAAATCCACTCCTAGAGTCCACTACTTCCTGGGACTCAGTTTAGACATTGGATCATGAGTAAATGAAGATCCAGTTGAACACATATGAGACATACCACACAACAGGTAAGCTCAGTAAGCTCAATTTAATAAAAGGTTAACTCATTTATCTGGAATGCATTTACTCTGGAACAACAACCAAAATTGCTTAATGGGAAGTGTGCCATAGTCAAATTCCAATTCCTTTATAGAGATAAGCTTCATATTAGGCCTATTTTCTGGGACTTGGGGGTAAGAGGAATCCAGGTTAGGAAG